ATCTTCACGCTCTTTATCGGAAACTAAAATAAAAGAAAACATTTCTGAAGCGTCCTCAGGCCAAAAAGTAACCTAGGGAAAAGTACGGAAGAAATTCATATATTGAATGAAATAACTGGAAGGGAATCCGTACCTTGCACATCTCGTATTCTTCTGATGGGCATGCCTTGTGGTCCTCCAAATCCACCTTGACCACCGAAGCCGCCTTGGCCGCCTCCTGGACCACCGAAGCCGCCTTGGCCGCCTCCTGGACCACCGAAGCCGCCTTGGCCGCCTCCTGGACCACCGAAGCCGCCCAGGCCGCCTCCTGGACCAAAGAAGCCACCTGGACCATCGAAGCCGCCTTGGACGCCTCCTGGACCACCGAAACCGCCTGGACCACCTCCTGGACCAAAGAAGCCGCCTGGACCGAAAAAGCCGCCTTGGCCGCCACCAGGACCTCCGAAGCCGCCTGAAATTTGTTAACATTACTGTCTTATTCTTCTTATTCTCTGGTTTGATGTTGCCATCGTGAATAACTGTAATCTTTTCTATGCTGAGCACAAGAAAGAATGGCAGTTGTCCTAAATGTAAACATCCCACAAAAAATGCATATTTCTCGGTGTTCGAATGAAGCGTGTTAATTATTATTGGAGCCGGGGCGTGCTAGCAGGAAAGGGCTTTTGCGCAACGAAAACAAGTTGCGGCTTCAGGCTTTTGGGGAGTGGCGGAAAAAGGGGTTGGCGCGGCACCAAAACCCATGTGCTGTGCCCACGGACTGACACGCCCCCATCGGCTCTCGTAATAACGAGTTCGAGCGGTCGTGCCTTCCTTATCTTCGACATATGGAGCCTACACAGAAGAGTCACCTCCGGCGCAGTTCGTCGACGGAGGAGGCATTTTGCACTTTCGTTGCTTCACTAGTTCCAGTTTACAAGTCTTACTCTGGTGAAACCTGTGAACTCTTGTGAAGCTGAAGCAAGCTCGTAAGCCGTTATGATGAATCCTGTCGACACGAGTAAGGCTGACTAGATGGGTCGACACCTCGAAGGGAAGCGGCAGGAATACAAAGTGCCATCCCGTCCCCCCCCCCCGTCGCCGAACTGCCCGTCAGTGAGTGTCGCCAGCGGACCGGTCGCACTCTCCTTGGAGAAATAGTTTTTCCTAGTTCAGTTGCCGGCACAGCCCTCGACGGCAGTTGTCTGGAGGAAAATAAGGCAAAGTGCTAGAAATGACGGAAATTCAGGAAGATGGTTGGTGAATGCAGGTGGGAGCGGGGGAGGAG